CCCCCCCTTCCCCGTGTTCTTCGCCCCCCTAAAAATACCACACTGCCGCCCGGGTTCAAGTGCACGCGAGTTCCCTATTGAGACCACGGACGCCCGTCCAGCGGCTTGGGCCGGGTTACAATGGCTCCAGAGTGTCCTGCACGGCGGCCGAGGCGGCCGCCGCGCCACCCACCCCGACACTCTTCTCGAAGAGCTGTCGCAGCCGAGCATCCAGCGACTCCGGCGCCCACTCAATGTACCGAATGAGGTAGTCCTTGCGCATTTTGCCGGAAGTAACAAACCGCGGCGCCGGGTAATACTGGGTGAAGTCCCGATACGCGGCCACCACCCGCCGCCGGACGTCCTCACGCAGAGCCCGACGAACGGACTCTCGCGGGGCAGCCATCGACGAGTCATGCACCTTCAGCATGTTCTTCAGGCGATCATTGAAGGCCGTATACAGGGCCTTCACCCGCTTGCGCACGGGCTTGTCCAAGACCGTGAAGTCCCCGCTGGCCGGCGGGGGCGGCGCGAGAGGGGCCTTAAACGTGGCATTGAGGAGGGGCTCCACCAGAGGCGCCCAGCTACGTGATTGTAGGGTTTTGTGCGTGTGTGTGTGTGTGTGTGTGTGTGTGTGTGTGTGTGTGTGTGTGTGTGTGTGGCCACAGGGCATACGCGCGCATGGTGCGGCATGGGAGGTCAGATACATCAGCCCGCTGCCCGGTCAAAGGACCAGCATAGGCGACCGGTAATCAAGTGCCACCAGCCAACAGAGGCTGTCGGAATATCCACGTACAAGGCCAAGTACACCGCGCGCTGTGTGCCAAAGGCCGAGTCCAGCAACTTCAGCGACTCCTCCAAGCCGGTGGCCGCCAGCGAGGGGTTCCCTGCGAAGAGCCCGCGATAGCCGGGGGCCGCAGCCTCGGCCGTCAGGGCGTCCTCCTCAAAAGTAGGACTGCCGGAGGCGGTGCTGAGGCCACTGCCGCCGACGGTGTCGGCCCCACCGACCGGCGAGGCCACCGCCGGGATGGCCACCGTCTGAATGAAGCGCCGTAGGTGGTCGACATTGTTCAGGATGAAGAGCGAGGCAATGGTGGCCGAGCGCGCGTGCGAGCTTGACTGATGCCCGCCACCGCCCGAGCTACCGGCCACGCTTGACAGCGAGGAGATCGACGAGATGCTGGATGAGGATCCAGATCGAGCCAGCCGGCCAAAGCGGCCGGTTGACGCCGGAGCCGTCGCCGGTGCGTCATGATCATCGAAGCCGCTGCCAAACTGGTCGAAGGTCGATTGACGCCCGTACGCACGCGAGGCCGTCTGAAGATGATCAAGCATGCGTCGGGAACAGAGGGCTTTTTTTTGTTCCCCACCCACCCCCCGACCGACAGGCCACAAGCGGAGCACGAACGGAGTCGTGTCAAACAACATGCCAGGAGGGAGGGCAGCAAACGGGCGGCCCGGAAGCAAAGCGCCTGGCAAAAGCCCCCCCCCCCCCTCCCCCCCCCCCGCCCCAAACAAGTACACGCACCGACAAACGAGCCAAGCGGCACGCCCGGCGTACCGCGCACATTCGACCGCAAGTCCAGGTGGGGCAGCGACGAGAGCACGGGCTCGACGAGCTTCGCGGACTCATACAACGACCTCAGGAGAATGGTAAGCTGTTGGGCGGGGGCAATCCGGCAAGGGCGGGAGGAGGGAGGGGAGGAGCGATCGGGGGCCGTCGGAGGAGAATCGTTAGCCAGAGACATCTGGGATGAGGCATGCATCTCTTGCAGCACCCATCACCCGGTCGAGAAGAGGGACAGGGGAAAGGAGGAGTGCATCTCCCTGGCTGGTGGGCGCACATCATTGGTATGTTCGTGGACCGTGCCGTCCGCAGGCAGGACACCATTGCAGGCAATTTGCTTGAGGCAAGAGGGGACATGTTAGGGCAGACACAGGGGATTCCCCCAGGGGGCATGCATGCAAGTGTGGGGCTCGGCTGGCCGGTGGCCGCCAGAACGCACGCCAATGCAGATGATGATGTCGTTGAAGTAGGTATGAACATGCTGCTTGAGCGACACCGACATGAGGTATGACACGCGCTGGGGGTAGGTGCCACAGAACTGCGCCATGAACAGTGCTCCTATGGTCAGTCACCATCGCCTTTGGCCCGGCGAAAGGAAGGCCGCCACTTTTGGGGCCAGGATTTTGTCGCTCACGCGCTTCATCCCTCGCATGACCCC